AGTAGAATATTTTGGAAAAGGATAGTAATAATCATGGCACAGCATGAAAAATATCATCAATGTCCCTAAGCTGTAAATCTAGAAGTTGTTATGTTGGCGAATGTCTTGTTGTGGATGTTTTTACCACAGTAAAAGTTATTTAAAAAAAGTAATACAAAAAAAGGACTGTGACTAGCATGGTAACAATGGGGAATGGGAGAACACAGAAATGTGCCCAAAAGAGGCAAACACTATCACATGCACAATACTGCATTACCAGTGGCAGCAAATGCTGGACTAAGGGTAAATGCATAGACAGGTGAGAAGATCAGGTTGGGGTAGGCAAACAGGAATATATCCAAGACCAAGGCTCGATTCAGCTGAAGATAGTCTTACATATGTACTTGTACTACAGAATTATTCACATATATTACAGAAGTAACAGCCGACAAGGTTGGAATAGCTTCTCAGAGACAACCAGACACCTTGAGGAGAGAATCACCTGGGCTATAGGTATGAACCATAGTTTCGGGGGACATCATGCTCAATTGGCACACAACATGGTACATAGAAATCTTGTTCTACATCCTAGTTTGGTGAGTAGCAACTGAGGTCTTAAAAGTTTCCAAGCAGCCATCTAAGATAAAACTGTTGCTCTCCTCTCATCTGGAGTGAAGAAGAATGAAGAAAATCAAAGTCATTTGGAAACAATCAGTCCAAAGATACAAGAGATCACGAGAACCTTAGCCTTCCCGAGCCCAAGACCAAAAGAACTAGACAGTGCCTGACTACCAAAGCTAACCACTTGGAAAAGGATAAAAATTAGAGATTTTGGATAGAGCGGGAGGAAAATGTAGAACAAAATACAAAAATGGCCAGAATTTACTGGTCAGATAGAGACTAGTGGAACCCCCCAGGACTGCAGCCCCAGGTCATCCTTTGTGCCTGGAAATGGACTCACTTCTGTGGATTGGCTCTCAGCCCAAAAGTACAAAGACCTACATACAGAACACCTACCCCAGGGAGATGCCCCCATATACCCTAGGGAGATACATCCCTTGGATCTATCAGCCATGAGATGTCAGAGGGACAGCAGTTACATAGAGGGAAAGCTGGACAGATAGGAATGCATAGATAAGAAGGGCACAGGGAGGGGGTAGTCACAGAGAGGGGAGAGGAGGAGAGCTCTTTTTGGTTGGGGATTATGAATGGGGCTGTGAAATTAAATGTGCATAAACTGTTGGGAGTAAAAAAAAAGGAAAGAGAAATTGCTATAGAAAAAAATAAATGTATTTGTGTACATCATGTCATACTTTAAGTGGTGGGGGCTGACTATGTAAATCTTATAATCAATCCTTTTATTCAGTGAATATATCTTACATAATTATATAGATTAACTGCAAAATTGGATACTCTTCAGAGGCTGGGGTTTCAAAATGGAGTAGCAATATAACAAACCATTTTAGGTATGTATGAAACTATGGTTTGTTTAGGGGAACATGTCTATCTTTTAAAAGTTGTTTTAGGTGTTTTGACCTTATTTTCATAAGAAAGACTACATATTTAAACCAAGCATTCCCAAAGTAAAATCATTTGGAAACACTTTTATTTGGTCTTCGTTTTTTCCCCATCAGTTTCCAGATAACCCACAGACCTTACTAATCAGCTTTCAATGACAAAAATAAAACTAAATCCTTATTTGCAATGTCCTTCAAAGTATCTATTCCCCTAATGAAAGTTAGATACCAAAGTAAATACTCTTAATTTTGGCTTCTGTAACCTTGGCAGAAGTTCAGTTTTGTTTGTTCCTTTTACTCTTTTTAGAACCAAGAACCTAGCTATAATAAAGTATATAAAACACAATATAACACAATGCAATGCACTGCTATAGAGTCAGATCCGACTCAGCGACCTGTCCTTGGTTTCTGAGGCGATATCACTACAGAAGCAGATTGCCCAACCTTCCTTCTGAGGAGTGGCTGGTGGGTTTGAACCTCCAATCCTTCTGGTTATCAGTCAAATGCCTTAGGCACTATGCCACCAGATCTCCTATATAAAGAAGAGTATCAAATATGCTAAAAACACTGTTGTGCTTCATGTCATGTATAGAAATAAGTGTCCTAATATCTAACTGATCTAAAGAATTATATATATTTTTTTCTCTAAATATATATATTTCTAAGGAAATATCTCCCCAAAACCAAATCTATGTAAAAATGGTCAATTTTCATTTTCAGCTTAGATTTATAATAAATATGTAGCTCTTATGAATATTAAGTAACTTGACTAATTTTTAATAAGACCCATGGGAATTTAAATAAAATATTTTCACAGATAGAGCTATCAAATAAATTATTTTTTTTTCCATGTTGTTGTTGTTGTTGTTATGTGCCGTCAAGTCAGACCCAACTCATAGTGACCCCTCCTTGGGTTTCCGAGGCAGTATCACTATGGAAGTAGATTGCCCAGCCTGCCTTTCAAGGAGTGCCTGGTGGGTTTGAACTGCCAGCCTTCTGGTTAGCAGTCAAATGCCTTAGGCACTATACTACTAGAGAACAGGGTAAGACTGCACCCTGTCAAAGGCAGAAAATTTGGGAAGTCCAGAAAAACACAGCAGTCTCAAGTTTCTGCTCTCTTAGGTTTCACACTGTAACTGTATCATTTGCCAAACTACCTTACCTTGCCTTTTTCTTTTTTTCGAAAACATGCTCAGCTGTTAATCCCTTGATACCCCAAGCAAATAGTACTTGAGTCAATTTAAGTATCTGCAGTCTAAGAATTTAGAGTATCTGCAGTGATGAAAGGCTTAGATGACAGTGTTATAATAAACATTAGATCAGACATGAATTTATAGCAGCTTTAACCCCTTTTGCTAATTAAGTGAGAGCAGATGAAAACCTGGTTTAATTAGAAGGTGTACTTCAACAACTTAGTTTCTTCTGTGATGATGAGCAAAAGTAAGAAACTTAAATGCAAATATGTCATGGCCACACAAGGGCAGTTCCACGTGCCTGTAACTGATGCAGTTGCATAAAACACCATGCTCAAATATACCGTCTTTAGTGTTTAGTGCTGTGTAGTCAAAGTCATGAAATTCTTAATTTTATCTTTGAATTTGTGTTTTAGAAATGAAGTCTGATGGAACAAGGTGCATGTTCTGGAGGCTTGCAGTCGTAACTCATGTGTGGTCCCCTTCGCTCCCCATCTTCCTGCCAGGGTTTCTTAGCCATCTGCTCCCTGTCCTCTGGTACCCTAGGCCCAGTGTGGCCTTAAGCACCTTGTGCTTTTCCCACCACCACTGCTGTCCTTTACTTTGCATTGTGACTGGGCCATATCAACAGTTGTTGTTGTTATGTGCCTTCGAGTCAGACCCAACTCGTAGCGACTCCTTGGGTTTCCAAGGCAGTATCACTATGGAAGTAGACTGCCTCACTTCCTTCTGAGGAGTGGCTTGTATTCCTCTGTCATCCTCCTCCCCTGGCAAGGTCTGGATGCATGAGTGGAGAGGGTTGGAGTAGGGTGTGTACCCTGCTGAATCTTAGGGCAGGCAAGGCAGTAACCAACCCTGCACTGTGTGTTCCATGACAGATTCAGTGGGGGCTTCTTGCTCACCTCCAGTTCAGGAACCAAGTGCATCACGGAGTTTGAAATCCCTTTGGAGTAGCCCATCTGCCATGAGTTAGAGTGGCAAGTCATGGGAAGGGGAGATTCAATGCTCCACTGTTCATTTTGCACTAGGCCCTGCAAATTATGTACCTGTTGTCACAATCTCTGGCATTACTGTGTATGGAATAAATGCATAGTGTGAACTTCGTGAAATATGAATTCAGCAGATGTTACGTGTTTGTCATAACTATAGTGCAACCCCCATTCCTCAGAACTTAAAAAGAAAGAGCACAAAGAAAAACCTTTATGATAAAGTGATGTCTTAAAACCTGAATAAAACTCATGGCTAATAACTAGTAAGAAAGAATAATTATAAATTACAAGTGACAGTCTTATTTTGATTTCTATTGTAAAGCATAATTGTGAGCTAATGATCCTTAAACCTTTCCTGGAGACATCAGTATGGGTGAAATTTATAGGATGTAGGTTGATAAATCCAGTGCAAGGTGTGACTATTAGTTTTTTTTTTTTTTAAATAAAATCCACACAGTGACATTTTATTGAGAAGCACATATGACCTTGGTGAAGTTAGAGAATTTGAATTAAAAAATAGATAAAATGTTTTAGTCAATACCAGAGGTATTCAAAACATACCAGTGACCTTGTTCATTTGTTGGCCCCATGAACATGAAATAATAGCTGTCTCTGAGTGCTTAGCTATGACACAAACAACACTTCCTTTTTATGCTATTGACACTTCCCATCTCCAAAATCACAGAAAATATTACCGTGCAATATGTCAAATTAGCTTTTTTTTTTTTTTCCTTCAAAATTATTCTTTACTGCAAACATCTTAAACATCTCAGTACCTGGTTTGATTTTCATTTTTGTGACTTCATATTTTGTATGATATTGTCACTAATCAAATTGTACAAATATTGCCAAAATATAGTTAGAAAAGGCCAATAAAATGTGACACCCCCATCCCCAAGAAACCTTCCTTCTTTTGGTACATCCAGAATCAGAGCTTATATTTTGGGTATCCCTCTCTGTTTCACTGACTGATGAGTTGGCAGTGATTTCATGAAATGGCTTATCACAGGGGAGAAGATGTCCCCATCATCCTGTTCTGAAACCTGAGGAGCAGTCTCTTGCTTAGCCTGTAACCCTCATCTGTGAGCACAAGTGAGCAGGGGCCGTCTGGCTCCCTCTCCTTCTCTAACATTCCCAGTGGCTTTTGAGAAGTCTCAGATTCAAAGCTATGCTTGATGTCCATCTTACCCCACTTTCTCTTGGGTACAAACACCATCATGGAAACACAGTAGGGTTTAACCTTAACTCTCCACACCTCATTGCCTGGTCTCAAATTTCATCCTTGAGCAGAAAGAATGTTGAAATGAGCTCATCTTCCTTAGGTGCCTCACTCCGGATGCAGAAGCCCGCCCAGATGTTGTTGAAGTCAGTTCAATGATATCAGATATCATGATGAAATATTTAGACAGCTTGTCCACATCCCAGCTTGCCTTGGAAAAGAAGCTGGAACGGGAACGGAGGCGCACACAGAGGTATTTTATGGAAGCCAACCGGAATGCAGTCACATGTCACCATGAGTTGGCTCTGCTATCTCAAGTAAGTGCAAGTGTTTTACTCTCTTCATGATGCACTGTAATAGGCTGTTTGAAGTTCATGTTTGTTTTAAGGAAAATCTATCTAAAGTTTAGAAACATTAGCCATTACATACAACATTTCCATATTCTATAGTTACATATTTACATATATATTTTTTGAGCTCTGCCGGTGTACTTTCAAAGGCATTTGACTGCTAACCACCAGTTAGCAGTTCAAATCCACCAGCCACTCCTCAGAAGGAAGACTGGGCAATCTACTTCGGTAAAGATACCACCTTAGAAACCCAAGGAGGGGTCACTATGACTAGGAATTTACTCGACAGCAGTGAAGGATTTTTTTTTTTTTGTATCTTACAAATAATTCAATATAACTAGTTTTATAAAGAACTTACCCACAATTGACTGCCTGTTGCAAAACTAGAGATATCAAAAAGTTCTCTTAGCAATTCTTTTTTTTTAAATTTTTTCCTATGTAAAGAGAGATTTATCAAGAATACAAGCAACTCAAGTTAGGGAGGCAGCAAGTCTTATAGGGTAAGATTAGCTACTCTATTGAGGCATGGAGCAACAAGAGTTTATTAAGGCAAAAACCACAGACAGCTGGGATATAGCTAAAGCTCTCTTCATTGGTAGGTAAGCAATTAGGAAACTGATGGTGGGCTAGGACAAGTCCATATGGGCATGTGGTCAGGGGAGGATTAGGTCAGGTGGTGGAGTGGGGCTGTTTTTCTGAGAATTGGTCAACCATTAACTGTCCGTGAGTACACCTGTTTCCAAGGCTGTGTGGGCAAGGACCACACTGGTAGCCGACTACCAGAAGGGAAAACAGCAAGGAACGGGACAGCCACCCTGCATGCCCGCAAGCGGCTGATTGGCTCTCTTGAGCATGCACAGGTGGTACCCTTGCCTAGACTGGCTCTCTTAACAATTCTTTACATTTATATGATGGTCTTTGTATAATTTGCAGTGAATGCTTATGTTTAATTTCTTCAGTGGTATGACTGCACCTTTTGTGGGAATATTGATGACAATGTTGTGATTTAATTCATAGAGGGAAATAATAACATTTCCCTTTAATTTTTTTTCTTGTTAGTCTGTATAATTGATTTTATTACTCTTTGTGGTGGTATCAATATTGTCATGTGTCAAGTTGGAGTCTTTGTCTTTATTTTTCCTGCCAGAAATCTTTATATTATTTTGATATTTAAGTGTATTACTGAACATAGCTTAAAAAAGAGATGTCAAAGCCACTTTTTTCCACATGTGCAAGTGATGGGACCATTGTGGATCTTATTTCTTTTCCTTCCTCTGTTGAAATCATGATCCATTGTTTGCTCATACTCTGGGCCTCCACCTAACAGGCATTCAGTAAGAGGCCCTTCAACATACCAAATGTTTTCTTCACCCCTGGGGTTCAATGAAGTAGTGTCATAAAGGCAATTATTGGTCATAATACCTGTTCCTTAAATTCCTTTCCAGGACCCTAAGATTCTACTCTATCTTAGCTGGGAAAATTGTGTAAAAAGTTGATTTCAAAGAAGTGGCAGCTTTATCTTCTTGAATAATAGCATTTTCATCAAATTCCTCTTTTTTTAGAAAGAAAGCACTACGATTTGGCAGTCTAGTCTTGATACACATGGACTCCAGAATTGAAGTTCAATGTATTTTTCATTTGGAGAAAAATAGTTTTATTTTCATTGCCTTAAATGATGAGCTCAGCTCATCCCATGGTGATTATATATGGCTTTGGCTTACGTTTAGAAGCATATAACTTGGAATTACAGCTCAGGTTAAACTCAGTTAAATCTCACACACAGGGAGTTGGAACTCACTTTGTTTGTTATTTTGCTACCTACCTTTGTAAAAACTAGGCAACAATGAGAAACATCATTCTATAAATGCCATGCTGCTTTGAGAATATTCCACGTAGATGAAAATTCAAGAGATTTAGCTATTTCTATATATCTTAAATATTGCAGGCCTTCTATTAAGTCCTACATGAAAAGCTACTTAGTTTCCAATTTGATATAAAAAAGTCATTTTATAATAGATTTATGTAGCTGATGCAGGGTTAGTTTAAAATCTATGATCAGAAATCCTCTTATCTTTACAAAACACCTTGAGAATGGACCATTTTATTTATTTATTTCCCAGCTTTTTTTTTTTTTAAACTCTTTATTACGGAAAATTTCAACCATTTACAGAAGTAGAGTGAGTGTTACAATGATCCTTAATGTATATAGTCATCACCCGGTTTCAACAGTTAGCAACTTGAAGCCAATCCTGCATCATCTCAGGTTCCACCCAGTTCCACTTCCTTGCCACTTCCAAATTATTTTGAAGCAAATCCGAGATATTTCAGCCATTAGATTGCAGTATAGTAGCATCAGAACCTGTCTAGATTCCTTAAAGGTAAGAAGCAGGACCAGCCCAAAGCTGATTTTTGTGAAGTGAAGGTTAGACATACCTCCACTCTGCAAATTCTATATAATTTTTGACACCAGCTTTCACCCCCACAACAATCTCTACTTCTCTGCTGAGTTCAGTAATTTGTTACAGTGACCACGCTGAACTCAAAGACCATACTTATCAGTTAAGAGGTTTATTAAGGAAGTAACAGGGTACAACTCAGAGTCAGGATCACATGGGATCAGGATTAAGAAACACGTAGGAAAAGTCTGGGAGTCTCCCCTAAAATGTAGAATGCATCCTCTCCTCCTTCAGTGCAGTTCAGTTCTCTCAGCTTCTCTCTATGATGCAAGCAAGCAGGCCCTTCTCTTTGCCCTGCATGCCCCCTCTTAGCTATGTAGGCTTCCTATTAGCTCCCTCAGGACAGGCCGCCCCTTAGCCATGCATGCCACCTCAGCCATTAAGGCTTCTCCCTTACCTCAGGATAGGCCTCCTCTTGGCAGGGTATGCCCCCTCTCAGCCATGTAGGCCTCTCTGCCTTCGTTCTCTCTGCTCTCTGCTTATCCACTGCTATATGACCCAGATCATAGCCAGTGCAGCAGCTTTGTTCAGCTCCCTTCACTACATTTCTAGCAGCAGTTTTCTGCTGTCACCATCGACTCCGCCACGGGGCCCTTACCAAGCCTGTCACCTCCAACTCTACCACTAGGCCTCTTAGGGGCTTTTTGATGCTGACTCTGCTTCAGAACCCTTTCCAGGCTTGTCACAGCCAACTCTACTGCAGTGCCTCTTCCAGGCTCTTTCTCTCTTCTGTGTTACAGCCCTTGACCTGAGATACAGCTCTTTTTTCTCCTCACTCTGTATATTTCTTCTCTCTCTTCACTCTCTTGCCTTTTCTCCATTTTTTCTTTCTTTTTGAAACCTCTGTGAGGTTGGTTGCATATATAAGCCAACTCTTTGTCAACTTCAAGGCCTGGCACTCCCAGCAGGGCCAGCAACTGAGCAGTCCTCTCCATGGACCATAAATCACTTCATTTGTATAATCTAAGGCACTTGACTACTAACCAGAAGGCTGGCGGTTCAAACCCACTAGCCACTCCTCAAAAAGCAGGTGGGG